TTTAAAGAGGCACCTTCCAGTTAAGCCTGATCTCACAACAAATTTTCTTTCTGGATTAAAATTACAATGGATCACAAATGATAGATTAACTTTATAAACAACATAAACAATAGTGTCCCATGATTCTTTGTGCAATCCCTGAGCTTGGAAGTTCCCCTTTAAAGGTTGTGTCTGTGTTGTGTCAACCCCAACAGTCAAACCAAATCAGAAATCAAATCAAAATAGCAAAACAAAAGTTCATTTGATGATATAATGATATGCAAATTTGAAAATTTAAGTTTGTAGAGATCACTGCAATAATTCAGTTGGGTCAAATTACATGTATATATACAAAGCAGAATTTGATATGTTGAATAAACCTGTCAACAAACAAGCTGCTCTCCGATTGGTCTGGCTGGTAAGTGTTGGGCGTTGGGTAGCCAATCAGGCACAATCTTGTATGTAGCTTTGCATGGGCTCCAATTATTTAGTGTTTTGAAGATGTCTTGAGTGATCCATAATATCCGATTTATGAATGCATGAATGAATTGTGAGTGTTGTAATACTTGTCTCTATTCAGGCTGATACTCAATTGGTTTAAGATCCATTATTTTAACTATATTTGTAGAACCATGTATCAACTTGGGGTCATTTTTAGGTTTTGTATGTAATAACACTGCTAAATATGGTTAATCACATAATTGTGGCAGAAGTAAAAAAAGTTCTCGTACTGTTTCTTTAAAGTCATAGGACAGCAGAGAAATGTTTCACCTACTTGTGAAAATTTGCAATGAAATTAAAGCTGCAGTTTAAAGTAGTTTTTTGGGCAGAGCTTTGTCACAGAATACACTATGTTGCTGAGGGATGCACCACTGTACCATGTATTTGTATGGGCTATGGGCGAGCCACTGTGATCAAAGAGCTGTTGGAAACAGCTAAACTATGAGATGATTCTGAGCAACCACATATAATTTTGTCACACTGTTATTTTTTCTTATGATTTGTATTTTATTTACCATACTGCGCCCTCTGATGGCATAGTAGTGTAATAAAGTTATTATTATTATTATTATTATTATTATTATTATTATCATTATCATTATCATTATTTAGAGGACTTATCATGCGCATATTCTCCTATGTCCATTACATAACGTAAAAGTCAATCAATAAAAATCACAAGAACTATAGAAAAGAAAAACAAATTAAAAGTAGTAAACTTTTTTGTTCATGACAGTCTCAGCAACTAGTCCCAAAGTAAATTTTTTTATAGATACTGATGCATGTCAATACTACAGTTTATCGTATGTGAAATAGTTCTACCGTAGGTTGCCAGTAAAATGAGCTAGAAGTATTTCCTTTCATTCTTCTTCAAATTGATCTACCAGATGTGTTCTTTGTCTCTTTCCATGTGTTTTACCTTTCTTTGTGTGCAAACATTATTTGTGAGAATCAGAATGAATATACATAACTTTGTGTGTTTTAATTATTCTGTATTTGTAATTTGTGTGATCATCCTTCCTGTGTTTAATAATTCATTACCTGCACATTGTAAAGTGACCTTTCACCATTTCTAATTAACCCATTACACTTGACATCATTCTTTGTCATTTCAATTTTCCTGTAACCACACATGTCTGTGAAACGCAATAATCATCTCATTTGCATTAATAATAATAATAATACTCTCTTTAAATATTAATGTGTTGCTGCATGATATAATATTCATGTACAATATTACAGGTACATGTATATCCATGGCAGTATGGGTTAAGAAGATTACGCATCATTGGTAGCAGTTTATAACCCAATCATATCATAACCGTTCTTTTAACATAAGTCTATATACATGTACATGTAACTTCATATGTTTATTTATCCGTGTTTCTCTTCCTATTCATTGCTGCCTATGGATGTCCACCCGCCACCTTGATGGATGATATAACTTCAAATACTCATCATTAACTGTTTGGTGGCTGTCGGCTCTCCTTCATGCATGTACTGACATCATCACTGTATTATTCCTTCATCACGTCAGAGTGGCGCATACAGTGGTACCTGCAATCCACCAGGTTAGTTTCCCTATCACTATACCCATCGTGTGTCATTCTGTTAATGATATTTTCACATTTTGTACCACGCACGTCTCTCCATAATCAATCAATTGTGTTATTTGTATGTACACAGATACAGGATAGTCTGTCTGTTTGTCACTTTGTCAATTATACATGTACATGTATGTGCGTATATATGTTCTACAACCTACATGTATCTTCTTCACGATAACACATGCAATGTTACAGTTAATAATTTCTCCAAAGTATGCAGTGATAATGTAACAGTAAAGTGAGATAAGCATGCAAAAATGTTTATGTTGTTTTATTTTCAGTCATTTATTGAAATAAGAAAATATATACATGTATGTGTCACATAACTGGTAATTTTACATGAATCTGATTTTAATATATATTGTTGCATAATAATACCAAATTTGTACTATACATGTATACATGTACTATGTGATGCTTGGTGTCATCCTACATGTATATTGTATGAAACTACTACCATGGGATCACAAACAGTATTTTAGCTCTGTTGTCGATGAAGTCAAGCGGAGCTTACAGTATTACTGATTGTCCGTCGTCGTCGCCGTCGTCAACTTTTCATTTTCGACTTCTTCTTAAAAACCACAAACTGTATACCTGCAAAACTTTTTAGGAAGGTACCTTGGGTGCTTCTCTCTCAGGTTTGTTCATTTCGTGTGGATATGTTCAATTGTCTTATTTATAGCGAATATTTTTGTTATTTTTGGTCAAAAATGCTATTTTTGACTTCTTCTTGAAAACGGCTAGCCCGAATGCTTTGATACGTGGTATGTAGGTACCTTAGGTGGACCTCTCTCAGATTTTATTCATTTTGTGATGATATCTTCAATTCTCTAATTTTCATGAATATTTTTGTCATTCTTGGTAAAAAGTGATATTTTCGACTTCTTGTTAAAACCGCAGGTCCAATTGTTTGATACTACATTTCTAGGTACTACATGTGGTCCTTTCTCAGATTTGTTCATTTCGTGATGATATCTTTAATTCTTTAATTTTCATGAATATTTTTGTAATTTTTGGTAAAAAGTGATATTTTCGACTTCTTGTTAAACCGCAAGTCTAATTGCTTTGATATTATATATACTACATAGGCATACAGGTAGACCTCTCTCAGATTTGTTCATTTCATGATGATTTTGTTCTTCAATTATCTAATTTAATGAATATCTTTGATAAAGATAGAGAAATATTCAAAATTTGTAAAAATGTGTCTCTTTCGAAATTATGGTTTACAATATGTCACATGTGATATTGATCCCAAATCTTTCCACTGGTTAATTCAGATGTGTCAGTTTTGTATATAAAGTAACCTTAGGTGTGGTGACAAATACTATAATGTGGTCAGAGTAGCATTAAATATCATATCACAGACTATTGGCCCTGCTCTGTTATAATACTTTGAAAGAGAACATTGCTAGACTCTCTATTACTAGACTCTCTATTCTAATTACGGCAGTGGTTTGACGAAGGATACACGTCATCTCACACGTATACTGCAAAACGCCAATTTGATTGAAAATAAGATATTTTTATCCACAACCATCTGATCGTAATCAGCTCCATTCGATATAAGCTGCTTCAAAATATTTTTAGTCTCAAGTGACGAAGTATACCGGTAATTATTAAGTATCCTATCAGGTAATTTTTAAATTAGAATTAATACGTCACAGATGATGAGCAACATAGGTTCAAATTTTGTGTAAACAATGTACTGTAAGTAGTGTATCATTAAAAACTCAAGGGGACAGAAAAAACTATGCTAAATATTGTTTTCAATGATGAATTTACTGTAATTTTCTGTGTGTGTAATATATTATTTTTAGCTCTGCTGTCGACTTTGTCGAGCGGAGCTTATCTTACATTGTATGAGTAATTGTCCGCCAGCGTCTGTGTCAACTTTTTACTTTTTCGACTTCTTTTTGAAAACTACAGTTCTTATTGCTTTGATCGTTGGTGTATATGTACCTTGGGCAGACCTCTTTAGATTTGTTCATTTTGTGATGATATCTTTAATTCTATAATGTATTTGTCATTTTTGATCAAAAGGGATATTTTTGACTTCTTGTTGAAAACCACATGTCTGATTACTTTGATATTATATATTTAAGCAATAACCCGCGCCGAAGGCGGGTATACCACGAGATATTGCATAATTCACGACATATATGCACGAGCCGCAGGCGAGTGCATATATGGAGTGAATTGTGCAATATCAAGTGGTATACCCAACTTCGGCGTGGGTTATTGCTATTATATTATACCAGTACATGACA